TTTTGTGGACATGGGCTTTCGTATTTCATTAATCCAGAGAGCTGAAATTGCTAGGGCATATATGTATGATATGAGTTGTTTTTTTTTTTTTTTTTTTAATTGAGTGGGTGGCACACACTTGCAGTCCCAGCACATGGGAAGCTGAACCTAAAGCAGTGGTTCTCAAGCTGCGGGTCATGACCTTGCTCTAGAGGATCTGCAGTTTGGAGGCCAGCGTGAACTTCACAATGAAACGCTAGTTCACAAACCCTGCTCAAAAGCCTGCCCCATTTCCTCCAAAGCAGCAGCAGCATTTTATATTTCCACCAAGAGGGTGCAAGAGGCCAGGCACCTGAACATCCTCGTGAGCCCTTGGTGTTGTCCATTTTTAATTTTAGCCACATTGGTGGGAGCTGAGTTACCATGCAACCATGATGGGTGTTACCACTCAGTAAAACTTGCCACAGTCTGATATCACCTGTGAGGAGAGTCTTGGCGAGGGATTGTCTAAATCAGGCTGCTGTCTGGGCGATCTGTGGGAGGATAGACTTCCCTGTGTTAACTGCTGTGGGAAGACCCCGCCCACTACACATGACATCATTCCCCAGGACTGAGTTCTGGACTCTAAGAGAGTAGAAAACTTTGGAGGAAAAGCGACTCTTCCGTGGAGCTGATGACAAGCTGAGCAGGGAAAGCTTTCATGCTGAGGTGGGCTTTTAGGTGATGGCGCTGCTGTTGAATCACCCGTGCCTTTGTCAGTTGCCCTTCACCCACAGTCCTGTAAGTAATGCTGGAAAGCCCACTGGCCCACCAATCCAGACTCGGGCAGAACGGTGTCTCTGGTCTGTCATCAGTGCCCAAGCTGGGGTGAATAGATGTTTGTTCAGGTCTCCCCAGAAAGAGAGAACATTTGGGTCTATACCCGAAGATAATTACATATATATCAAAGAAATGCCTTCAGTTCCATTTTTATTGCAGCATTATTCATTATAGGCAAGATCTAGAATTCCCCTACATTTCTACCAAGTGATAAATGGATAAAACAAATACAGCGTGTTCAAACAAATGCAGCAATTTTTGGTAGTTTTAAATTAAGGGAATTTTGTCATTTGCAACTACATAGATGAACCTGGAGGAAATTGTACTAGGTGTATTAAGCTGGGTTCAGAAGCCCTATGTGACATGCACTCTTCTGTATGGACTGTGGAACAGTGAAATATCCAGAAGCACAGAATATAAGAGTGGTTACCAGGCCCTGGGCAAAGGGTCAGTGTGAGAATATGTTTGTGAACTGATACAAAACTGATACAAAACTTCAGATAGGAGGCAATAGTTCAAGAGGTCTGTGACACCACACTGCAAGGGCATTTGCTCAGCTGTGTTCACAGCAGCTTTATACATAATATCGAGAACTGGGAAACAACCTAGATGTCCCTTAACTGAAGAATGGATAAAGAAACAGTGGTACATTTATAAAGTGGAATACTACTCAGCTATTTTAAAAAAATCATGCAATTTGCAGGCAAATGTATGAAACTAGAAAAGATCATCCTGAGTGAGGTAAGAACCACACACATGGTATATATACACTCACTTATAAGCGGATATTAGTCATATAGTAAGACCTAGGCCTTCTACACATATGCAACCAATGAACAGCTTGCTCTTCATGTGGGTCCCCAGCAAGTGGAACAGGGGCCAATTTTGACATAGACTCTGTTGCTTGCTCTTTGATCACTTGCCCCTTGTGTGGCAGCCTTGCCAGGCCACAGGAAAAGAGGGTATGCTCAATTCTAATGTGACTTGATGTGCTGGTGGGGGGACTCCCCTTTTCTAAGAAGAAGGGGAGTTGGGAAAACAGGAAGAGAGTGGTAGGGTGGGACCAGGAGGAGAGGAGGGAGGAGGCTGTGTTCAGGATGTAAAGTGAATAACCAAACTTTTAAAATTAAAAAAAAAAAATAAAGAAATAAAAGCAAGAGATCTGTGACCACTTGAATGAGAAATAGTCCTCATAGGCTCAGCTGCTTGAACACTTGGTTCCCAGCAGGTGTCGCTCTTAGTGCAAGGCATCACCTGGCCAGGGCTTTGAGAGTTCATAGTCTCAACCTATTTGCAATTCTCTCTCTGCCTCATGTTTATTTAAAAATGTGGTCTCCCAGCTCCTTCTTTGTGCCACCATACCTGATACTCACTGCTATGCCTGCCCCTCCATTGTGCCTTCCCACTGTGACGGGCTGTGATGGACCCTTCCTTCTGTAAGTTATTTGACCAGAGCAACAGAAAAAATAATGGATGTATGATCCTCAAAATAGTTCATCTTCGTTGTCACCTTGACTTGATTTGAAACCACGTTGGTGACACACCTCTGGGTGCATCTGAGAGTGTTCCCAGGTTCCAGAGAGGGAAGCTTGTGGGTGTCACAGTGTAATGGACTGGGTGCTAGCATTAATCAGAGGAACACAGAGAAAGGCTGCTGAGCAGGACCTTTCTAGGTTCCTTGATCTGCCCAGATGTGAACAAGACCTTTGTGTCGCAGATGAAACCCAGGGCCACCTCCATGGCTTTCTTGTCAGGGTGACCTGCACCCCCTCCCAGGAGTGTCTGTCCCTTTTACATGGCAACAGGATGTTGTCATCTACAGATATGTTGGTGCTCACATCTGCAAATGTGATGGCTCTCACAGGTTGCATGCAGCACACAGGCTGCAGCACAGACATGCCTGCAACTATGAGACAAAGTAAACCTGTGACTTGCCTTGTTTAGATACTTTGTCCTATTGTACCACTAGGAGAATAGAGTTGATAACAAAATACTACATGTTTGAAAACTGGCGGGAGCACACATTTCAAATGTTCTCACCACACAAAGAATAGAAACTCTGTGAGGTAATGCAAATGTTAAGTGTCTTGATTTAGCCGTTACACACACACACACACACACACACACACACACACACACATCAAAGCATTATGTTGTATGCTGTATGTATACACAATTTTCTTTCTTTAAAAGTTTCCAAATGCAGGGCCTGGGGAGATGTCTCAGTGGTAAAGTGTCTGCTACAAAAGTGTGAGGACCAGAGTTCAGATCCTCAGCACCACATCAAGGCCAGGTGTGGGGGTGCACATTTATGAACTGAGGGGGAAGGGGGAGACACAACCAAACATGACACAGATGTTCCAAGCTCAATGACCAGTCAATTTAGCCAATCAGTGTGCTCCAAGCTCACTGAGAAACCCTGCCTCAACATAAAGAAACAAACAAATGTTAAATAAAAATTATTAATGTGGAGAGAGGTATTATCCAACACCAATCTCTGGCTTCCACACAAATGAATACACACATAATCACACATTCATGCCCACACACAAAAACGTTTTTTAAAATGTTAAATGAATTGTAAGGGACACATAGAATTGATTCCTAAAGCAACATGACTCACACTGATCAAATACTTATAACATATTTAGAATCTGAAGATGCCTTCCGTACAGCAGAATCCCTGGAGGGGAAAGCCAAAACTGTTCGGATATTCCATTTTTGTTTAAGCAGTAGCCAGTCAAGAGTTAGAAAGGTGAGATAGGATGGACAATGGTGCCCCCTTGTGGACGATGGAAACAGAAGCAACCAGAGGTTCCCAGTCCTTAGAGTGATTTTGAACATGATTCTTTCAAATGTTTGCATTTAAAAGACCATCTTCACATTAATTTCACTGAATTGTCTATCACAATTGATGAATTATAGGCATCTGACATTTTCATTCTCACTTTTACAAAATATGCATATATAATCAGACTATATAATTATATACATAAACACATGTATACACATAGCATACATACTTATACTCAGAAAATGTAAGCATTGGAAACCCAGTGTCACCCATCAGGGTCCAGGACCTGAAATACCACGAGATCAGGCTCAGCCCTGGCAGAATCCTATCTTTAAATGGGTCTGGTGATACCTGCCTGCTTTATGTGTTCCTAAGCACATCATTAAAATGCTGTCTGTGAATGTCTTTCAGTGAAGGTTGAAATTATTGCAAGATGCAAATGCAATCACTGTGATTAGTAGGGACCAGGTTACTGAAGGAGAGTAAGTTCCCAGTCGCACACATAAATCTGACGCGGTGAAATGCAGTTCCAGGTACATACTACCAGGCTATTATTCCGCTCCTTCTCCATCACTTCTTCCTCTTCTCAAAGTCTTTGTTCTGAATCTCAGGTATGGCTTAGTGCTGAAACACTAGCACAGAGCACAGCTAAGCCATCTTCTGGGTACTAAGATTTCACTTGTAGATTGCACTTACTTATTCCACTTTTATAAAGACGGTTGTGAAAGTTTAGAGTATTGTGGTCAGGAGGGAGTGGCAGCACCTGTGTTTGAACCCAGGCACCCCATCCCACAGCACATGTTGTTAAAGTCTCCCTGTGTCTACACAGCTTTTGTTAAGTAAGATGCCTCCGGGGCAGGAGGGTAGCTCCGTGGGTGAGAGAGCTTTCTCTGCAAGCACAGGGACTTGGGCTGGAACTCCAGCACCCCCACCAAAGGCTTGGGCGTGCCTGTGAATGTCAGCGACTCCGTCTTTGGGAGACCCGTGTAGCCCGAGAACTTTGGGCCTGTCAGCCTAGCACAGACGGTGAGCTCGGGTTCCCTGGGAGACCCTGTCTCGGAGGAGAAGGACAGACCACAGACACAGCAGAGGAACAGATAGGACAGCCTGCTCTGGACGCCACCACCACATCCTCGTGTGCCTATCACACACACATCCACACGCTCACGCTCTCATGCGCACACATCACGCTCCTACACGTGCCGAAATCTTAAGCACTCGTACACTTGAGCACAACCTACACACTCGTGCACACATCACACATAGTCACACACTCATGAGTGCACACATCTCTCTCACGCACACACATGCACACACACTCACACAATGCTTTCATAAACAAATGTTTGTTTGTTTTCCCCTCCCTCAGTTTCACTGTTTGTGGCATCTGTCCCTTTGACTTACCCAGGCTGCTCACAAATATTGCGTGTGTACAGCAGTTGAGTACTCGACATGTGGAAGGCAGCTCCCCCGCCCTCTGAGTGCACGGTGCCTCCCACGCCTCCCAGCTGCGCCCGTTCCCTGCGTCTTCTGAGGAACCACAGCACTGCCAGCTGGGGAGGGCCCCAAGGTAAGCCGGCACAAGGACGCTCTCCCCCTCGGCTCCTGCATTGATGGGCAAACTCAACACCATCCCCTGCCTTTCCAAGACGCATCTGTCTCAGCAACAACTACAATCCATCTTTAAATAGTCTAAATTCACAAACTGTACCACCCAATATGGTGCCCACTGGCTGAAAAATTGCGTGTGTGATTTTACTTTATACGCAGAAAAAAAAATCTTCATATTAAAAAAAAAAAAAGGCTAGCCAAGCGGTGACAATGCCTTTAATCCCAGCACTGGGAGGGCAGAGGCAGGCAGATCTTTGAGTTCAAGGCCAGCCTGGTCTACATAATGAGTTCCAGGACAGCCAGGGCTACACAAAGAAAAAGAAAAAAAAAAAAAAAAACAACCCTAAATTATTCTTCAGCAGAAGCCCAGGAAATCCAAGCTGGCAGCTGTCCCCCAGCACTCACATATTTTGTAATGATGAGAATACATTCTGAGAAATGCAACACACGATGGATGGCTTCTTCATAGTGTAAACATCCACCGACTTTATTTACACAGACCTAGATGGTAGAGAGGACTCTGTGACCAATCTGCCTGCTATGAGCTGCATGCGTCCTAGACAAACGCCCCCCCGCACGCTTGGATTGTAGGTGACAACAGCATGTCACAATGCCAAACGGTTGAACAGTCCTGCAGTGTGGCCTACCAAGAGAGCTCATAAACACATGTGCGAGCCTAGAAAACAGGGCAGATTGCATTATAGTAAGGTTGTGATTTTGCACGCAGGGAGCGTGCACTCTGCAGACAGGACACTATCACATAAGACATGCATGAGCCAGTATCAGCCATTTGTTATCTTCATTTGGGTGCTATCTACTCTGCATGACTGTATGTACAATTTTTTCACAGATCTTGGAATGCAGTGGGTTTGCTTACACCAGTGTTCCCACGGACACCTGCCTAACGGATTGTGACTACAACCTTAGGATGTCTACACAGTTACTAGGGGTGTTGGTTTGAAGGAGGTGTTCCCCGTACACTCGGGCTTGGTTCCCAGTTGGAAGGTGTGGCCTTGAGGATGGAGGAAATGTTATCAGGGTCTGACTGTGCCTTTCCCAGTTCGCTCTGTGTCCTGCTTGCGTTTCAAGGTCTGAGTTCTCCGCTTGCCACTCCAGCCATCATGCCTGCCACTTCCTTGCCATTACAGACACTTAGCCCTCTGGAACCATAATATGAAATAAACCTTTCTTTCTATCAGTTGTCTTGGTCATGGTTTTCATTGCAATAAAGGAAAAATAGTGAATAAACTTAGCAATATGAACTTTCAGCTTCACTGCAATTTATGGCGTCACTGTTGTATGTCTCCTGCCATGGGCTAACATTGTTATGTAGCCTGTGTGTAACAATAGTACATGCTAAGCACGTATTTGGGGGAAGAAACTTAAAGGCAGTAAAGTGGGAAATACTGTTTAGAAAATATAGAGTGAGCTTGGGAGGAGGCTCTGTTGGGAAAATATCTGCTTTAAAGGCATGAGGCCTTGAGTTTGGATCCTGAACACCCATGCAAAAGCTAGGTGTAGTGAGCCATGTCCGTAACCTCAGAGCTGGGGCGGTGACGACAGGTAGGTCCCTGGAACGTCCTGCTCAGTCAACCTGGCCACATCACGAGCTCCAGGTTCAGTGAGATCTTTCTCAAAGTGAAAGGTAGTTGAAGAAGACATCTGACACCAAACTCTGGCCTCTGTATGCATCCTTATCCACATATCTGAGCACCCGCACAAATGTGCACACACCCACATGAATACAAATGTAGGCACACACCAACACACACAAAGAAAGTGTGAAACTGGGAGGGAAGGGGATAACTGACAAGGGCATGTATTGTGAACCCAGTGGAATTATAGGTATCAAGTGATATCAAACCCAGCAGCCCTTTCTTCTTTCTCAGTAAGTCAAAAGAACATATTTGTGTATGTGTGCATGTGTACATGTACATACGTATACACACACACACACATATATGAGCACTACATCTTCCTCCCTCTAAGTGAAGCTGGGGAATCCATAGATTCATGTGCTTCAAGGTGTTGCTTCCCCACACTCAAGGTACCAGAAAAGTGACAGAGAGCCTTCAAGAGGATCCAGCTTGTTTGTGGTGGAGACAGAAGGGGTTAACTGGAGCCATCCTGGATAAGGAAGAAAGATGTCATCCTATTCTGTTGCTGTGACAAATACCTGGACAAATAGTAACATCAGAAAGGAAAGGGTTTATTTGGTTCACATTTCCAGGTTACAGTCCATTCCTCCAAGAAAGTAAGCAGGAACTTAAAAATCACAGCCACAATCAAGAACAGAGAGAAATAAATACATGGCTCCCTGCTTGCTTGCTTGCTTGCTTGCTTGCTTGCTTGCTCTTAGCTGGTTTTCCTCACTCTTTTACAGGGTCACAGCCCAGCCTAGGCAATGGTGTTGCATTCAGTGGGCTTGGTCACTTAGCTATTACAACAATCTTGATTGCTCACAGATCTAGATTTAGACAATTCCTTGTTAAGACCCTCTTGCCAGGTGTTTCCAGGCTATAACAACTTAACAGTTAAAAAGACACAGCCCATCAAACTAAACGGAGAGAAACTTAAATCAATCCCACTGAAATTAGGGACAAGGCAAGGCTGCCCACTTTCTCCATTATCACTTCAACATAGTACTTGAAGTCCTAGCTAGAGCAATAAGACAACTAAAGGAGATCAAAGGGATACAAATCAGAAAGGAAGAAGTCAAAGTATAACTATTTGCAGATGACACGATAGTCTACATGAGTGACCCCCAAAATTGATCCAGAGAACTCCTTCAGCTGATAAATACCTTAAGCAAAGTGGCTGGATACAAAATTAACTAAAAAAAAAAAATCAGTAGCCCTCCTGTATATCAAAGACAAAAGCACTGAGAAAGAAATCAGGGAAACAACACCCTTCACAATAGCCACTAATAACATAAAGTACCTTGGGGTGACTCTAACCAAGCAAGTGAAAGTCCTGTTCGAAAAAAACTTCAAGTCTCTGGAGAAAGAAATTGAAGAAGATCTCAGAAGATGGAAAGATCTCCCGTGCTCATGGATGGGTAGGATTAACATAGTGAAAATGGCCATCTTACCAAAAACAATCTACAGATTCAGTGAAATTCCCATCAAAATACCAACACAATTCTTTACAGACCTTGAAGGAAAAATTCTCAACTTCATATGGAAAAACCCAAAACCCAGAATCACCAAAACAATCCTGTACCGTCTAACGGTATCTCCATCCCTGATCTCAAGCTGTACTACAGAGCAAAGGCAATAAAAACTGCATGGAACTGGCATAGAAACAGAATGGTGGATCAATGGAACCAAAAAGAAGACCCAGAAATAAACCCACACAACTATGGATACTTGATTTTTGACAAAGAAGCCAAAACCATACATTGGGAAAAAAGACAGCATCTTCAACAAATGGTGCTGGTCTAACGGGATGTCTACATGTAGAAAAATGCAAATAGATCCGTATTTATCACCCTGCACAAAACTGAAGTCCAAGTGGATCAAAGACCTCAACATAAAACCTGACACACTAAATCAGTTAGAAGAAAAAGTGGGGAAGAGCCTGGAACTCATTGTTACCGGAGACAACTTCCTGAACAGAGCACCAACAGCACAGGCTCTAATATCAACAATCAATAAATGGGACCTCATGAAACTGAAAAGCTTCTGTAAATCAAAGGACACTGTCATCAAAACAAAACGACTGCCTACAGACTAGGAAAGGATCTTCACCAACCCTATATCAGACAGAGGGCTAATATCCAGAATATACAAAGAACTAAAGAAGTTAAAAAGCAACAAATCAAGTAATCCGATTAAAAAATGGGGTACGGAGCTAAACAGAATTCTCTGTAGAGGAATATAGAATGGCAAAGAAACACCTAAAGAAATGCTCAACATCCTTTGTTACCAGGGAAATGCAAATCAAAACAACTCTGAGATTTCACCTTACACTCATCATAATGGCTAAGATCAAAATCTCAAATGACAATTCATGCTGGAGAGGTTGTGGAGAAAGGGTTACCCTCCTCCATTGCTGGTGGGAATGTAAACTTCTACAACCACTTTGGAAATCAATCTGGCACTTTCTCAGACAATTAGGAATAGTGCTACCTCAAGATTCAGCTATACCACTCCTAGGCATATATCCAAAATATGCTGAAGTACACAACTACGACATTTGTTCAAACATTTTCATACCAGCTTTATTCATAATAGCCAGAACCTAGAAACAACCCAGATGTCCCTCAATGGAAGAATGGATACAGAAATTGTGGTACATTTACACAATGGAATACTACTCAGCAGTTAAAAACAAGGAAATCATGAAATTTGTAGGCAAATGGTGAGAACTAGAAAAGATCATCCTAAGTGAGGTATCCCAGAAACAGAAAGACAAACATGGTACATACTCACTTATAAGTGGATACTAGACATATAATGTAGGATAAACCTACAAAAATCTGTACACCTAAAGAAGCTGAGCTAGAAGGAAGACCCTGGATAAAATGATCGATCCTCACTCAGAAAGGCAAACGGGATGGACATTGGAAGAAGGAGAAAACAAGACAGACGCCTACCACGGAGGGCCTCTGAAAGACTCTTTCCAGCATTGTATCAAAACAGATACTCAGACTCATAAATAAACTTTGGGCAGAAAGTTTATGAAAGAAGGAGATAGTAAGATCTAGAGAGGACAGGAGCTCCACAAGGAGAGCAACAGAACTAAAATATCTGGGCACAGGGGTCTTTTCTGAGACTGATACTCCAACAAAGGACCATTCATGGAGATAACTTAGAACCCCTGCACAGATGTAGCCCATGGCAGCTCAGTATCCAAGTGGGTTCCCTAGTAAGGGGAACAGGGACTTTCTCTGACATGAACTCAATGGCTGGCTCCTTGATCATCTCCCCCTGAGGGGGAGCAGCCTTACCAGGCCACAGAAGAAGACAATAGAGCCAGTCCTGATGAGACCTGATAGGCTAGGGTGAGATGGAAGGGGAGGAGGACCTCCCCTATCCATGGACTTGGAGAGGGGTATGGGAGGAGATGAGGGAAGGAGGGTGGGATTGGGAGGCGTAGATGGAGGGAGCTACAGCTGGGATACAAAGTGAATAAACTAATAAATATAAAAAATAAAATTTAATTAAAAAAAAAAAGACAGCCAGAGAGGGACAGTGAAGAAACATCTTCCCTGAAAGTAGGTGCTGAGGTTGAGAATGTAGCACTCCAAGGTCTGATAACAGTGTCCAGAGGACGGTGGCCGATGTAGGGGATACTATGAAGCAGGACGGTCTGCCCTGGTGCTTAATAATGTACAGCTTGTTCCATTTTACAAGTGGCATTATTTCGGATGCTCAATTTCTTTATTAAGTAAATCAACACAATCGTGTCATACCATACCATTCAAATTCGATTGAAGAGGATTCTGTTTGTCCCATTTTCACAACATTTAATGTTTCCACTTCTACTACTTTCTTTCTTCATCTTTTCTGAATAATAAAATCTCATGACATTCACCTAGTCTCCTCGAGCACCTCTTACAGATGTGTAATATAAAATAACACTAAGGTATAATCAATCAACTTAGGCACAGGGAAGGTGGATACCTGTAAATTGGAAAAAAAAAAAAAAGATGCAGTTAGAATTTGGAAGTCAGGGTGCAGAAATGGGTCAGTGGTTAAGAGCACTGACCGCTGGTCTAGAGGATCCAGGTTTGATTTGTGAAGACATAGCTATGCTAAACGAAGAGTATAAAAACAAAAGACAGGCAACCAGGCTGCAAAGGGCTCTGATGACTTTCTAGAGAGCTGTGGGAGAGTGGCACACGCCCAGTGACTACAACGACCCAGGTGGTTCCTGCAGTTTGCTTGCTGGGCTTAGACTGAAAAGCAGACAGTCAAGTTGTGATGTGCACAGAGACGGAGTTAGTAAGTGATGCCAAACCATCAGAAAAAAACGGTTTCTCTGCGGACCTGCCTGAATTACACCAGGTGGTACTGATGTGGCTATGAAATGGATTGAAGATATTCTCTGTGATATATCTACCCATCTGCAGTATGGTGATTAAGCTCCATTGTCAGGCTCCTGCTCTTCTTTATTTTATTTTATTTTTTTATTAATTACAGTTTATTCACTTTGTATGCCCCCTGTAGCTCCTTCCCACCTCCCCTC